TTTGTAATGAAATTGGACTTTTTCTTTAACTCTCAGCTAATCCTGATCCATGAACACTTTGCAGGTTTGAGCCTAATGACTACCCAGTTCTTGCCTTACAAACTTGTCCTTTGCATTTCAGAGTTAGGTTGCTGTATCAGGATGCTCGGTGGCCTTTGCTGTCCAACATTCCTTTCCTAATGGAACTTTTATTCCTATTGGTGTTAGACTCATCATCAGTCATTTTCTTAACTTGTGCTTCCTTGCTGAAAGGGGTGTGAGTTACATCTTTCTGAGTTCTTCAGAACTAGACACTGTGCAAATTGTTCCCAGGCCCTTTGGGGGAGCTGATCCTGAGTCTAGTAAGGGTGGCCATTTTATTACTCAATTGCAACTTGAAGGATTTTCTTCCAGTTTCATTTTGTTGAGGTTCTTTATCAGTATATTGTTTTGCCTTGAAAAGTTGTGTGTTCCATCTCTTACATGTTCTGTTAATTCATCCCTTTCCTGCTAATCTCCCCGTCCCTGTAGCTAAATTGCTAATCCTGACAAGACTGCTACTGTTGGATGATGTTGTTAGTTTTGGGATTCTTTTGCAAAGTTTTTTTTATTTTATGTTGTTATATTTTAATTTTTTGTACGTTATATGCATCTATGTGTGGCCATGTTCATATAAGTTCAACTGCCCAAAGATACCAAAGGTATTAATTCTCCTTGTAACTAGAGTTATAAGCAGTTGTGATCCACCAGACGTGGGTGCTGGGTATCAAATATGGGCCTTCTGTTGGAGCATTGCCCACGCTTCATGCTGAGCCCTCTCTCTAACACCCCTTTCCCAGTTTTCAATGGAAGGTTTTCAAATATATTTTTTTCCAAAAAAATTCCTTGTTGGTATTTTTCATTCTTTTACATTTTACTCACATTTTGTTTGATTATAGTTTTGATACTAGCAACATCTTGTATGAAATTCTGGTTTAATGACAGTACTTTCTTTTTAACATTCTTTTTTATTCTCTTTGTTATTACTCTATTTTGTAGCAGAGAGTATTCTTTGGTATCCAGTAATACTGCCTCTTCATATTTTTGTCTTTTTGAGATAGGGTCTCTCTGGAGTCTCACTTGGCATGGGAATTCCAAATGTAGACGAGGCTGGCCTTTTCACAGAGATTTGCCTGCCTCTTCCTCTGAAGTACTGGGATTAAGTGTTCACCATCACACTAGGACTCTTTTCTTTATATTTAAAAGGGCTTCCCTGAAAGGAATATCCAGCATCAGACTTTCTCCCCTCCTTCCAACTTTGTTCTGGTGTTGCCTTGTCATAAAGATATGAACTGTAGTGGTGTGTGGATTCTTTATGTGACATAAGTTTTAACTGCAGGCAAAAGAACTCTTTTCATTCAATAGAATCAATAAAGTTCAATATGTAATCCATTATAGAATGATTTACTTTTTTATTGTTGAGAAAATCATATTGTGGCTATTTTGAACTGAAGAAAACTGTTGCATTTTCATTGTCAGCTCCACTGAGTGCCTGGCCACCTAAGGGGACAAGAGTCAAACTTATATGTTTCCCTGTTGTACCCAGTCCTGTGCTTATTGCTTCTTGGATAGGAGGTGTCAGATCATTTTCAGAATATGATAAGACCTAGCATCAACTTCAGTGGGTCAGATACATTGGAGATTTTCAGTTCTGAGCTCCTTTTTTAAATAGAATATTTATGTATTTAAGAGAAGATTCTGTCTAAAGTTAAATGTTGTGACCAATGAAAGAGAACAGGTCTGTAAGGGACATTAGAATGAACCAACTGACATACATTTTTTTCTCTTTTCTTTTTTTTTACGCTTTGCATGTTAGAAGAATACAGATCAAGTAAAATAAGAAAACAAGCAAGAAGAGAAGGTAGAAAGATTCTAAGAGGCAGAGGTTTGAAGGACTGCTGTGAAGCAGTAGTTTCTGGGTAGGAGAGGGCTATTGCACTCATGAACTCACAGCATCTGTGGGTCGGTGCAGGCATCAAGCTAGTTTACATGCTGACACTGTTAGTGAAGGGACCTGGAAATCTTAATCCCTAGATGAGGAGCTATTTACACTTGACAGCTGAAGGGTTAGAGGAAGTCACTTTCCTTCAGAGAAGTGACAGATTATTAATAGATTGACCATGGCCATGTGGATGGCTCCACAACCAAGAACATACAGGCAGCACTAAATATACTTAGTCCGGTATAAAAAGTGAAGTGGAGACCATGGAGAAGTGTTGCTTATGCGCTTGTTCTCCTACTCTCATTCTTATACCTTTCTTAGGCAGTTGAGGCACAGTTGCCGAGAGCCAGTAGCAGTCATAGTGGGCTGGACCGACCTCCATCTATTAGCAAACAAGAGATCCCACAGACATGACCACCAGCCCCAATCTGATGAAGAAAATTGCTGAATTGAGATTCCCTTTTCCCAGGTTTGCTTACGTTTGTGCTAAGTTGACAAAAACCAACTATGACACATATTCTTTTCAAGGAACTGGTCACATGGAACACCTACACTGTGTGGGACCTCATCTTTCTGACTGACCTATGGAAAGTTATTACTTATTAAATTGCATGATTTTAAAAGCTGTTAATATAATAAAATTCTTCATCCCTTTCTGTATCCTAAGGGGTACTTGGAAGTTCTACTCAAGCTCTTAAGCACCATCCATGTGACAACTTCAAGAATTCCTATCTTTAGCTTATTTCAGCTTCCTCAGTGCAATATCTACTCAGGTCACCACTTCTCCAACTTCATAACCTAATGGAAACTTGGGATCACTGTAGGTGTTTCTGGTCCCCTCCCCCTTACTATTCTCTCCAACTTTATCTTACTAAGAACACAGGCTCAAAATCTACAGGTTCCACATTTTCTAGCCAGTAAAATTAATTTTTATGTCAAAATGAAAACATCTAAAATAGTTCTTAAATATATTCCTTTATCTTTCTTTGCAGCAGTTGTTGACTTAACAATACCATCAATATTCCATAAAGGTCATTTTGGGAGGCAAAAAGTAGAATTGAAAAATACCACTTTTTAATTGTACGTATTAAAGTGATTAAAATCAAGGGCTCTGTAGGTAAGAAAATTAAATCTGATGCTTCTTTCTTTTCTGAAAGTTATGTGGCCTTGAATAAATTGCTTGGGTCAGTTTATCTCTGTTTGCTGATTTATGACAACAAATAATACTAGAACTGCTTTTTGCAGTGCTTTTGTTTTCCATATAAGTTAATGTAAGTCAAACATCTATAAAAATTCCCAACATCTAATATGCTTCAATAAGTGCTAGCCATAGCTAGTACAAGTTATTTATTCATTGACTTATTTAGTATTCAAATATTTAACACATAATTTCTCAACAAGCCATACACTCCAAGTAATGTGTTAAGCTAGGGATAAAATTATACTGAAAGGCAGGTACAGCAGTGTCATCATGATTGATGTAGCTGTCCATTCAGTAAGAAGTGTATCAATTGACAAGAAAGGCAAGCACCCTGGGGATAGAGGAAGTCAAAGACTTCTTCGGCCAAACTATACTTAGATTTGAAGAAGAAACTTTTATAACTTCTGAGTTTTCTGTAATTTACCATTTATTTATTTATTATTATTTTTATGTGTATGAGTGTATTGCCTGAATGTATATAAATGCACCCATATCGTGCAATGCCTGTGGAGGTGAGAAAACAGTGTCAGATTCCCTGGAACTAGAGTTACATATAGTTGTGATCCACCATGTGGGTGCTGGGAATCGAACCTGAGTTGTCTTCAAGAGCAATCAATGCTCTTAACTGCTGAGCCATCTCTCCAGGCACTTAATTTACCATTCTTACACGTGGATCTGGATAAGACTATATACCTGAAAGCTGTGGTTCCCTTAAGTTGGCTTTCATCTTAACAAAATGAAACAAGGATAGTGGAGTTTTTGTTCAGTTTAAACATCAGATGTTAATAGATTTGTTTAATGCATTCCTATCCAGGTGGTTTTCATGCAATTTTGAATGCCTCCTGATTCTTTGTGCTTACCTCTTCCTTTCTTAGAAATGACTAAATGAAATCCATAGACCTGGTTCCAATCTTGAATAAAATTTAACATGTTTTGAAATCCTGGTTTTAGTTACATACTTTAAGAAAGTAAGATCTTGGAATGCTCTTAGAAAATCATTTCTTTTTTTCTCCAAAAACTCTCTTCAATATACCATGGACTTAACATATATGACAGAATGCATGAAATTCAGTTTGGGGTGGGGTTATGTGGCAGGTGAGGATGGGGATAGGCCCTAAATTTGATTAAGATCTATTATATGAAATGCACTAAAACTCAATAAAAATTTAAAAAGATAAACAATTAGGGGTTGGGGATTTAGCTCAGTAGTAGAGCACTTGCCTAGCAAGTGCAAGGCCTTGGGTTTGGTCCTCAGCTCTGAGAAAAAAAATTAAGATGTATTTTATGAAATGTACAAAAGTTCAATAAATATATATTGTAAAAAATCATGTTTCTTATATATGTTCAAGTATACCCCTATGAAGTAATATCATTGAACATATTATCTAAGAAACAAGACATTTTCTTCATTTCATAAAATATATCTTAATTGACATATTAAAATACAATATTTGGTGCCTGAGAAATGGCTCAGTGTTTAAGAGCACTGGCTGCTCTTACACAAGACCTTGGTTCATTCCCCAGCACCCAAATGGCAGCTGATAACTATCCAAAACTCCAGTTCCAAGGTAATCTGACACCCTCTTCTGATCTCCATGGGCATTGCAGGACATGGGTGCACACATATACTTGCAGGCAATACATTCATGTACATAAAAAGAATATAAAATATTTTATAAACGAAAATTAAATGCAGCATTTAAGAGTTGATATTTTTTTTGTTTTTTTAAATTAGGCAATACATGCAAACTAGAAAGTTGTGACAGGGAAAAAAGACATTTGCTCTATATTCTGATGACAGAGAAAGGCAGTCAGTCTACTACTGATGTTTACTCAACTCTAAATATATACTTTATTTAGAAAGCAGCATCTCTTCAATAGTCTTCTTATTGCGTCTTTTACATCTTTGTTCCTCAGACTGTAGATGATGGGATTCAGCATGGGAATCACAATGGTGTAAAATATGGACACAACCATGTCGTGCTCCAAGGCATAGCTTGAACTTGGTCTCACATACATGAAAAGGATCGTCCCGTGATAAATGGACACTCCAGTGAGGTGAGAGCCACAGGTAGAGAAGACTTTCCTCCTCCCTTCAGCAGAGCGCATTTTCATAATGGCCAACAGGATGAAGCCATAGGACACCAGGACGATCAGGATGGTGACTATCTCAATAGAGCCCACAAAGTAGAAAAGTAAAAGCTGGTTTGTGTGCGTGTCAGAACAAGAAATTGCCAGCAGAGGAGGAATGTCACAGAAGACATGTCTGATTTCATTGGATCCACAGAAGGACAGGCTGAATGTGGCCACCGTGTGGATAGTGGCGTGCAGAATTCCCCCAGTATAGGAAGCGATGATGAGAGGCACGAAGACTCTGGGTGACATGCTCACTGAGTAGAGGAGTGGGTTGTGGATGGCTACATATCGGTCATAAGCCATTGCCGCCAAGAGGAAGGATTCTGTGCTCCCAAAACTAACAAAGAGAACCATCTGTGCTGCACAGGCAGCATACGAAATGTTTTTATTTTCTGCCAGGAAATTAACCAACATTTGGGGGGTAACGACTGTAGAATAGCAGGCATCCAGAAATGACAAAACACTCAAGAAATAATACATGGGGTTATGGAGCCGGGAATCAGAAATAACCAACATAACCAGTCCCAAGTTTCCTACCAGAGTGAAAAGATAGATGGCAAGGAACAATACAAATAAGAAGACTCGCAGTTCAAAATCGTCTGTGAAGCCCATCAGGATAAACACAGTGACTTCTGTCAGATTCTTCAGCAGAATCACGTGCCCCTCCACATCTGACGACAAACTCTCCATTTCAGTTTTCATTTTCAGGTTGTAAAAGTAATAATTCCTATGTCCATCCAAACATGTGTCCTTTCTTGTTTCTTAGAATGACTGGGATATAAAAGTTTGACCCACATAGATGTGTGCTACTCTACAAATAAAATTAAGAAGTTACTTAGTTAATTTCTTAGTGAATTTATGTTAAACAATGTTCTTCTAATTTCCAGTCAATTTTTTTTCAATTTTCTGTCACCTATTATCATACAGAAATTCTTTCCCTCTTAAAATTCACAAAATTGATGGATAATTGAATTTAAGTAATATTGTAGTGGAAAACACACAAGGCATTTTATATCTCTTTTAAACTACATGAAATTAATTTTCTAAATTTTGTAGCTGATAAAACATGAAAAAACAAAAATATCATAAATGTGTGTGGAATACAAAGGAAAAAAGAGATGTCAAAATTATTTAATTTAAAAAGATTCCTAGATTAGTAGAAAATAAAATGTTAGTGCTTGTTTGAATTTTCCACATGGAATTTCAAAAGGAATTTCATTTTTGTCCTCTCTGACCTTTACAAAGTTCCAGTAAATGAAACAGGGAGCAAAATTCAGGAGATAGAGGTGTGGAGCTGGCCTGCAATCAATGCTATGTTCTTTCTCTTAATTCATATTAATTCACATATATATATATATATAAATAATCTTTGTTCAACTACTGCAGCTCAATGTATCATTGTTTTTTTTCAAATTGAACCTAACAGCACTGTGTCATTTTCTCATTTTCTAGGCTTGTTTCACACTAAATGTCCTTGGGTATAACTTAAGAATGGTATTGTCAATAATAAAACATATTATTTATAGCATATTGTAGCATTTTGGAGTTTCTAAATAACTCTACAATAGATGTCACTTAAAGATATGCAGCAAATTATTATAGGAGTTATTTCTAAAATAACAATTTGAATACATTTCCCACTAGGTAGTACTGTATTTTTGAACCTGTATTCCTGTAGATATAGTATTTCATACTCCACGACTAAGGACATACATGAGCAATGACATCAGCAAAAGAGTAAAAATTAAAATAGTTTATTGATTGAAAGTGACAGTAAAAAAAACATTAAATATTGGGCCTTAAAGGAAAGATTTGTTACAACTAATTTATATTTCTTTCACTAAAATTTTGAATGCACTGAGAACTTTGATTTTCTTAGATCTGCCCTGAATTTAGTTTATATTAATGATTTACAGCAATGAAATAAAGCGTGCTACAATGTGGTGTTCATATGTCAAGAAAAGAACATATACACTAATTGCTTCTGTGTTTGTATTATCCTGGACATATTTTTCCTGGTCCATTTGAAGCATTTTTCAAATGTGTATAATATATAATTAAATAATGTAGGGTCAAAACTTGACAACAAAAATGATCCTAGTAGATTTTTAAAATCTTTAAAAATATATATATGATTTTAAATTTGTATTTCTTTTTAAATATAGACAGCCTATACATGACTCACAAGAAAAACAAGTATCAGTTAATAGATAATTCTTTCAAACTGTTACATTGATACAAAAATCAAATAATAAATAATATAAATACAAATTAATGTGCTATTTAGGTGCCACAAAAAGTTTTGTTTAATAACTCCATTTTCTTATCAAGCTTTCTTTCTCTCCCTCCCCTCTCCTCTCCTCCCCTCCTCTCCTCCCCTTCCCTCTTCTGTGCTTTGCTTCTCTCACACACTCTCTTTCTCTCTTTTTCACTCACACATTAGTATCAGTAGCGGCAAATACTAAATTTTACCTTAGAGAGGAAGTTTGGGAAAGAGATAAAAAAAAATTAAAACAACTTTTAAAGAATATGCAAATAGATATTCTACTATGAAAGGAATAAATTGAAGTTATATTTTTCCTGAAATAAAAAATAGAATTACAGGAACCAGATAATGGAAAAGAACCATGGAGGTAAAGGAAAGGAAAGAACCTGAAAAAGAAGAACAGTAGCAAACAGGCCTTAATAAGAGAGATATGGATAAAAATTGGGTTAGCTTATGGGAGGGGGGAGGGAAGGGTATACAAGGAACCTAGAGGATAAAGCTTAAGATGGGGTAGGACAATGGGAGAAGGTTATTATTAAGGGAGAAAGGGGGAAAATGGGGGCACCTTAATTGGGGAAACCATGATGGAGGGGATAGACAATGCGAGAGATAAATAATATGTAGGTAGTTTTAAAAACCACAGGGAACCATATTAGTCAAACGATCTACTGACAAATTATACATACCAGATCAAGAAATATATGTGTAGGCAAAGTTTATCTGAGAACAATTGGTCTTTGCCCAAGATTTATCGACATGGCACACATTAATTAAAAGTACCAGACTGGTGGAACTAACTTTCTTGGATGTTTAACAGACATACTTTGAGGCCTATAGAGGGACATAAAGGACAGTTTTTGCTCCTTGCCTCCCTAGGTCAACTAGTTCCAGGGGACTATGAGCATCTTTCAAAATGTCCTGTAATTATGGTGGGTCACCAGTCCTCTTCATCAAGGAGGACATAGAGACCCCACAAGATGGACTTGAACCAGTGTCCAGTCTACAAACAGGAGGGTCAACACAGAGGGAACATTTCCTCAATGTTTCCAAGCGAAGCCAGCCATGATTGAGTAGGACCTTTGACTTATCTTCACATAGGTGGAACTGGTAAAAGAAAGGAGCTAGGGGCTCCTCTCAATTCCATGTGAACCCTGAGGAACAGCCAACTGTATGGACTTAAACACAGAAAAGGAAAGCATAACTAAAGATTAAAGGAGTCAATGTAATTTTTTAAGAGTCCATATGTGGCTAAAGGCTACATAACAAGAAACAATGCCAGAAAGGAAATACCTTTATTGAGTTGTTGGCTAGGGTGGCCCAAGTGACTCCCAGACAGTAGCCCAGCATAGAACTGAGAAAATGAACAGCAGACCCCAATCTTATCTAAAGGAATATTGACAACTGATTGCTGCTAAATGAGGAACAGCTGACCTTCCTAAAACAAAGACTTCTAGGTAGACTGACTAGATTCACTGGATCGACAAGTAGTGGGGAATGCCTGGGGGTGCCAACAACACAGCAGACAGTAGCAGGGATGACAGTGTATAAGGGCTCTAGTGGTGGTGGGGGAGGCCATGGGAGGGTGCCATCTGCGAAGTGGGTGTATAGAAGAATAAAATGGTTTTGGACATTCTGTGTGATATACACACACAAAAAAATCAACAAATTAAAAAAAATATATTTGAAGAGGAAGCACAGAAATTTACATCATGTTAATTAGTAGAGTTGATAAACATTACCATTGAAATCTACCCAATGACTTTATAGGCATACACAGGTGCCAAGGATCCTAGTGCAACAAATTATGATGAGTAATAATCAGATGCATACAGATTAGAGATGCATGCACCAACATCTCATTGTTATTAGCAAAATCAATGGGGTTTTCTGTAAGAAAAAGTATATTTTAAAATGAAATGGAGATTTTTTTTAAAAGATCATTCAATTTTATGTCTTACAGGATTTATACTGAGTTCAATATTGTATAACTGTATTAATTCAACTGTGAACCTAAAAAGTTTATAGCCACTTTTGAAAGAGATGTATCTTTGCTCTGGAAATTGTTATTGAATATGGTAAAACTGTAATATAATGTTTGTTCTTAAAAATAAAAAAGATATATAATAAAAATCTAAACTTTATTTCCTGATATGAATTATATTTGGAGTCTAAAGCAGTATATTACAGTCAGAATTTTGAAAGCATCTCTCTTTTAAAGTTGAAAATCCCTAGGAATAAAGCATATGAATCATCACAAAATTTTAATCACATGAGGAGACATGGATGACACATATAACTTCCAATGTTTATTTATGCAATGGAACAAAAAGTAGCATGTGAGTTTAAAGTCTAATAAAATTATTAGGTAATAATAGACTTCAAAACTAAGATAAAATCAGACAACTGATCAAATCATTATGGGACGTGGTTACATTATAGAGAAATAGAAAGGAATTTAGCTTATTTACCTAAGCTACTTCAAGCAATCATTACTAAAAATAATATTTAGGAAATAACCAGTGATAATGTTCATAGTTCATCTGTTTTTAAGTAGAGACCTGGGGCTGGAGAGATGGCTCAGCAGTTAAGAGCATTGGTTCCCTAGCCATTTCCTCAAGTCTTATGTCTGAAAACAAACTATCGGGAATCTATGAGAACAGTATTACTAATAAAACCGAGAAAGGAAACTGTAGGAGCAGCTGCCATATAACAAGGGGTTCCAAGGTAGTTACAAAATTGTGCACATTATGTCATCTACTGAGCAGCATGCCTGCTAAATAATCCAGTGTCCTCCTGCCATTAATGAAAGAGAGATCCTGGCAGACCCCTAACTATACAAATCATACATTTTCTCATAAGTAAGGACCAATGCCCAGTCCTCTCAGCCCAAACTCTTCCCATTTCAACATGACTATGGCGGGCTGCAACATTACAAATGACCAACAGAAATAAGAGAAGATGCCATGCTTCAACTTTTTATTTATTGAAACTAGCATTAAATAGGTCATGGTAGTTTTCCAAGAACATGAAGTTCAATATAAATTAAATAAATGAATTTACTTGTGTAAGTATTTTAAGTTTGATATTCTCTATTAAGAAACAAAATCAAAGATCCCAAAGTTAAATACATACAATGGTTGGATTGAAAGATAATTTCACTTTCATATAATTACTTCACTGAAATTTAAAACTAGTTCTTTGTTCTATTGCCTATTTTCTCTTATCTTTATCAATAGTACAAAATCTCAGGTTTACAGTGTTATTGAAAAATATAGGAAGAGATTTCAATTTTTTTCTGTAAGGCTGTGTCTCAATAAATAATACAACTCTGAATTAACTAGAATGCTCTTTCTTGTATTTAAATACTGTTTATAAATTTGTTTCAAATTCAGCCTTAAAGATTCTAAAATATTTAATAAATAATGAAAAGTCTCATGTCTTA